AAAAAAAAAAAAAAAAAAAAAAAAAAAAAAAAAAGTTCTTGCTGTGGGCTGAAGGGGAAGAAAAGGCTTCTTGGATTAAGGTTCTTCCTGGGCCCAGAGGAAGGAGCTTCTGGATGAACGTTTAGGACCCAAACATTGTGTGGGGCGTTTTCCTCATATGGAAACCTTGGCTGGAGGAGTGAGCTGGTGGCTTCCTGTGGGCCTCTTGCCCCAGCCAGCGCCCAGGGCCCAGCTTCCCTCTCAGGTGCATTTTCCCAGGATGAATCTGCTCTTCCCTCATCACCCCCCCACCTCAGAGAGCACCGTTCTAGGTGTTGGGGACGTAAGGACGACCAGGACCATCCAGCCAGGAAACCAGGAGCTGCTCAAGTCGAGCTGGGGCCCTGGGAGTGACCCCAGGTGAGTCTGGCGTGCTGCCTAGAGCCGCTGAGTCCATCCTGCAGGTGAGGGGGGCACGGGCTCTGGTCATCTCAGGGCCCTGAATACCACGCACACCTTCTGACAGCAGCTGCAGCTGCTTCAGCTGGGCCTTGTAAGAGGCGACCAGCAAGCAACACCTGTGACCCTCAGCACCGGGGTCACCGTGGTGATCTATTTTAGAAAAATAAAGCAAGAAATGTCTGTCTGCGTGGTCCCAGTCTAGGCTTTGGTTTATGGGGCAGAACTGATTGCTTTGTGCTTATGAGGCAGGCAGAACAGATGACTAGAGAGGGTTTTGACTCAGTCCCGCACAGAGGGCTGGTCGATGGGAGAGGCCCCCGGGGAGCGGCAAGCTTCCTCTCCCAGGCCACAGGAACCCATGGGTTGCTTAGCAAAGTCATTCCAGCGACGCTAATCAATTAGCCCGGGAGGCAGTGGCCGCTCAGGCCTCCTGCTGACAGCTGGGTCCCTCAGGCTCTCTCCCTCTGCCTTGTCCTCGGCCCTGTCCACCACCGCTCCAGCTCTGCCCTCCAAAGTTGCAGACTATTTTCAGACATACTCAGAAATGCAGAAAGCAGTAAAGGTCTCTGTGTACTTGCTGCACAGATTTAAGGAGGGTTGACATTTTGCTATTTTTGCTCCAGCTTCTTTTTGAGGGGAAATAGAGCCTGACAGATCGGCAGGAGCCCATCTTTCTGGTCCGTCTGTCGAGGCTGTGTGTGTGTGTGTGTGTGTGTGCGTGTGCCCGTGCACGCGTGGCAGTGAGCAGTGTGTTCCAGCCCTTGAGGGTCAAGGCCCTCTGTGTTTTGTGGTTGTGGCTGTTGTTGGGGGCACACTGGGGATGGAAGCCAGGTCTTGGCACTGAGCCCCTCCCCAGCCCTTTTTATTTTTTATTTTTGGACCGGGTCTCACTAAATTGCCCAGGCAGGGCTTGAAGCCTCACCTCAGCCTCCCAGAGGGCTGGGAGGACAGGGGGGCACCACCACACCTGTTTTCAGGTCCCGGTTCTGCAGGCAGCCTGAGCGGTGGCCTCGAGAGGAGGTCAGAAATACTTGAGAAATGTGAAAGGCACAAAGGTAGAATTAAGGGACAGAGCAGGGCAGAGCCGACGGGGAGCTCAGCTTACTCACAAAAGGGTCCCCTGTACCTGCAGGCGGTCACTTTACAGACAGAGAAACCAGGGCTCCAAGTGCCCGGGGATGGTGGGGAGTGAGGGGTGAGCAGGGGTCTGGCCGCCAGCTCGCGTCCCCAGCACAGGTGCAGGCCTGTCCACCACCCCTCAGGGCAGGCAGAGACCATGGCCAGGGGCCACTCACCATCCTCCTCCTCTGGCTCTGCCGGGGGTGGGCCCTTGGCACCGTCCGAGTCCTGCTCCTCTTCCTGCAAGACAAGAACAGGGATCAGCGCTGCAGGCAGAGTGAGGCACAGGCAGCCCCTGAGGACGTCTGTGGGGTGTGTGCACAGGGAGGAAGCCGAGTCCTGCGTGGCCCCCAGAGTGACCACCTTGGAGACAAGGGGATGCAGTGGGGTGCCGGAGGTGGAGGGAGGGAGGGGCCCCAGGCCCAGTCTGCCCACACCAGCAGTGGCCCCATCCCAAGGCCACGGTCAACTGGCAAGGAGGCATCAAGGAACGGCACTGCTTCACCTATGCCCCCCACGCCCTTGACCTTGACCTTCGCCAGGCAGAGCTGGTCCCAGCACTTGGGGGTCATTCCCATAAGGGGGCCCAGGGTCTCCCTCCCTCGTTGTAGCGAGTAAACAAAGGCAGAAGACAGCAGCTGGCAGGGCTGCCCAGGGCCCCAGCAGCATTACACGGACTGAACTCCAGATCGCTGGCTTCTCTGTTTCCAGCCACGTCATTTCCTCCTTCCCCTCCCCGTCTTTTTTCCCCATTCTTTCTTTCACAAGGGCTTTCACACTGAGCTATATCACCATTACCAGTTCCTTTAAAATCTTTTTGTAAATTTTCAGACAAAGGTGTCCCTAAATCACTAAATTGCTCAGATTGGGTTTGAACTTGTGATCCTCCTGCCTCAGCCTCCCAGAGGCTGTTACCAGACAGGGTCCGAGGACATTCCTGAAGATAAGGAACCAAACCCGCCCTTCTTGTAGAATAAGAAGATCTGCTGACTCCTGTCATAGAAAAAGAATTTTCAGGATGAGTCACTAAAAGGCACGGAAAGGCAGAAATTAAAAAGTTCACACTCAAAGAAATAGAGTGCAGTTGAGAGACAGAGACATTATTTCCTGTAACTGGGAATATTTATTGTAAGCTGTCCCTCCAGAAGGGCACTGGCCCACATTACAAGGGTGAGCTTTTTTTTTTTTTTTGGATGAATAATTTAAGCATTCTCCGAATTCTTTCAACCTGTTCCTTTATCTTAGGAAGAGGGACACGCCCGGGGTGCAGACACTTAGGGATTGTGCTCAGCTGAGTATCTCTGGTTGAGGAGGGACAGGAAGAAGAGACACCCTGCTCCTGCAGCCGTCCCACTTTAAGACGCTGCTTTCTACCCTGGATCAAATGTTAATCAGGATTTTTATACAAGAACTTGGAGTGCAGCAGAAAACAAGACAAAACAGCAAAACATTTTTCCACAGAGTTAAATACAGCCCAGCTAAGCTGGATACAGTGGCTCACTCTGGGAGGCTGAGGCAGGAGGACAGCAAATGCAAGCCCGGTCTGGGCAACTTAACAACTTAGAAAGGACCTGTATCAAAATAAAGAATAGCCAGGCATTTAGCTCAGTGGCCCTGCACCTACCTTGCAAGTACAAGGTCCTGAGTTTGAACCCCAGCACCAACAAATAAATAAATATAAAAAGGGCTGGTGACATAGCTCCACGCTATCAAGGATGGTGGGATAAGTGTGTTCAAAGCAAGAGGGAGTGTTTTGAGAGGCAGTGTGTCTTTTATTGTAATAAATTTAAAAAATTTAAAACTTTAGCTTTTGATCATCCCAGGCTGATCAAACATTTACAGCGATGTCTGTCGAAGAAAAACACCACTGCACATCCTCACCCACGTCGTTCACTGCATCTGTCACAGTGTGGCATCCGTCTCTTCCCCCCAGAGTCAAAACGACAACAAGAAGTAAACGTTTTGAATCGATTCTGGACACTGAAGCAGCCACAGCAGCGCAACTAAAGACACCTGCAAAAGAGGACTCCGGAGCTGCTGCAGAGAGGGGCCGGAACGATGGGAGGAGAGTGTTCCAAGCAAGACGGAGCGTTGAGGGGGACTCGCGGGGATGCGTCTTTTACGATAAGAAATCTAAAAAGGTTGGACATTCACCGTACTTTTTATTAGACCACGTATTTGATTCGTGGGTTCAGCAGAGCATCCATGGGCTCGGTACTCACAGGGCACGTACACCATGAAGCGGCGTTGAGAGGAGAAATCAGGGCTGCCGCGGAGAGAAGGGAAAAGTGCCTCCAAGGACCCCAGCCCTCCTGGTGTGGATGCCAGGACGGGAGCACGAGGGGTACCCAAGGCGCCAAGTGACCAGGGGAAGCTTCTGTTAAAGGGAGGAGCTGGGCAGATGGCATCCTTGCCTTCTCATCCTGACATTTTGGTATCATTTGGATTTTCTAATCATATGCATGAGATTTTTTCTTTTTTGTGCTACCGGGGATCGAACTCAGGACCTTGCACTTGCAAGGCAGGTGGTGATGCCACTGAGCTAAATCCCCAGCCTGCGGGAGGCATTTATTTAGTTTGCTACATCCCCAGCCCTCACCCTCCTTTTTTATTTATTTACTTTTTTGTTTTGTTTTTGAGACAGGGTTTTGCTGTGTAGTCCAAGTTGGTCTTGAACTCACTATGTAGCCCAGGCTGGCCTTGAACTCACAGTGATCTTCCTGTCTCAGACTCCCAAATGCTGGGATTACGGGTGTGCGCCACTCCTGAGACAAGGTCTTGATAAATTGCCCAGGCTGGGCTAGAACTTGCAATCCTCCTGCCTCAGCTACCTGAGTAGTTGGCATTACAAATGCATTAGTTTTAATATATTTAAAAATCTCTCTCTCTCTCTCTCTCTCTCTCTCTCTCTCTCTTGTCTTTTTGGTCCCAGGGTTCAAACTCAGGACCTTGTGCTTGCAAAGCAGGCAACCTATATTTAGCAGGAGGACCAGGGATGCAGCTCAGTGGCACTGTGCCTGCCGGGCAAGCACAAGGTCTTGAGTTCGATCCCCAGTGTATGTGGGGGGAACAAATCTTAGTAGGGGGTCTCTGAACAATGAAATTTGGGCTTTTAAAAAGTATTTTCTCTTCTGTCCTATGACAGAGGAAGACAGAAAGAATGGTTGTGACATTAAAAAAAAAAAAAATCAGCGGGTGAGGCGGTGCACACCTATAATCCCAGCATTTAGGAGGGTGAGGAGGAAGGATTTGCGTGAGTTCGAAACCAGCCTGGGCTACATAGTGAGACCTTGTCTCAAAAAACAAAACTCTTTAAAAAGAAAAAAAAAAGGGGGGGTTGTGGAGTAAAGGGACAGAAACAATACCACCACCACCACTGGAAAGGATCGATTTCGTGTGTGTGGTGCTGGCACTGAACTAGGGCCTCACACAAGCTAATCACATGCTCTGTCATGAGCTACACTTTCACCCCTTGTTACTTTTTTTTTTCTTTACAAAGTAAAACACTATTACATTTCATTGTTATTTTATAAAAATGTGTGCATAATAAAAAATGAAGGTCTGATACCAGTGAGAAGTGCAGCTGTCAGAAACAGTGCAAATGAGGCTCAGCCTGGTAGTGCATGCCTGTGATCTCAGCACTCTGGGAGGCTGAGACAGGAGGATCACCAGTTCAAGGCCAGAGACCTGGTCACCAAACATTAAAATTAAAAAAAAAAGGAAAAAGAAAAAGAAAAGCAGAGCTGGGTTGAATGGAGAGCACAAAAGGGTTTAGGTTTCACCCTTCAGGAAGCGAGGAGCCACTAGAAGTGTTTAAACAGTGAGGGCCAGGTCGAGAGCTTCATCTGAAGCTCTTCATGGGGACACCTCGGGGAGGGGCAAGATGGGAGGCAAAGAACCCCGAGGGGAGGCCGCCAAGCTCAGGACGGAACCCTGGAACTGAGAGGTGAAAGGCAGCTGGCAAACTGGGCCTGGTGGCCCACACCTGTAATCCCAGCACTCTGGGAGGCTGAGGCAGGAGGAGGAGGAGAAAAGGAAGAGGAGGAGGAGGAACAGGGGCCCCTCACCTCTGTTCCACGCTTGATGAGTGAATCTATGCAGGACGACTGAGGCAAGGGCTGTCCCTAGGGTTCTCAAAAGTCTGAGTCCCCGCCACCCTCAGGCGACAAGACCAGTCCTGGAGGCAGCGCACTCCCAGCACAGCCTGCTTCATTTCAGGGTCTTAGGGGAAACAGGAGAGAGCAGCTGCTCAGAGTTCAGACCACAAACTTCTCAAAAACCCCTTACTACTTTTGTCTGGATATGCTGCGCAGGCTGGCCTGGAACCTCAGGGCTCAACTGATCCTCCTGCCTCAGCCTCCCGGGCAGCTGGGACTGCAGGTGCGTCCTGCGCCTCACTCCGCACTGCTGTTTTCCTGTCGATGCCCAGGCTCACCTGTCCACCTCGCCCCCCACTTGGATGTCAAGGTCTCCACCCAAGTGCCTCAGCCCAGCTGCACGGCCAGCCCTGTGTCCGCAGTTTCTGCATCTGTGGGTCAGAGATATCTGGGGGGTGGGTGCAGGGATTTAGCTCAGTGCTGCTACCTGCCTTCTAAGTGCAAGGTCCCAAGTTCGATCCCTGGTACCAAATACATATATGTATGTATGGGGGGAGGAAGTGTGTAGGTTCTGTGTAAATACTATGTCCCTTTCTGCAAGGGGCACTGAGTATCTGTGGGTTTCTTATCCACTGTGGGTGCTGGGATCCATCCCTGGTAGGCGCCGAGGGGCAGGGTTAGAGGCATGGCCCGTAGAGAGGTGACAGAGTTAAAATGAGGCCATGGGGTGCCCTAACCCAAGGACTGCCGTCCATGTGAGAGGAAACGGGGGCCCACAGAGACAGCCAGAAGGAGTGCACGAAGATCATGGAAGGACACGGAGCCCAGGAGAAACTGGCCCTGCCCACCGCCGGCTCACGGTCACCTCCACCAGGCCCCGGAATCCCAAGAAAATACACTTCCATTGTGTAGACTCTCAGTCTGCCATGTTTTGCTCCAGCAGCCCTGGGAAATGAATACATCACGCTTCTAGTGAGAGTAAATCAATTCAGGACAACCAGAGTTGATCAGCCGGGTGTGACTGGCACACAGCTGCAATCCCAGCTCCCTGGGGGGCTGAGGCAGGAGGGTTGCAAGTTGAAAACCAGTCTGGGCAACTTAGTGACTTAAGTGTGGCCTTGTCTCAAAATAAAAAGTAAAGAA